TCTCCCAAATCACTTGTATCGTTGGGTTGTCGATGAAGCAAACATGTATTTGTCTGTTAATAGATGCTACCTTACACGAAATAGGGTGAATACATCTCAGAGTTGATAGGTAGCCCGAATATTTGTTCACATATACCACGGTCTTATCATTCGCTTCATCAATTAGGTTAGAGAATATTTTTGGATTCGTTTCCTTTCCAGGATGCCATCTTCCCTTGCAAAGATCTTCACCAGTACCGTGAGCGCTATCCCCCCCTCCAGTTATCCATGCGCATGGACTCTACATGAAAGGCTCACCAACAATTCACTTCCCTGCAATCCGATGCATCTGATTCTTCGGCAAAATTAGTATGAATTCTTGATTGTATTCTATAGTCTATCACTGGCCTTCCTTACTTTGAAGCAGATAAATTTAACTTGTTTATGCGTTACTCCTTGTTTATTGGTGAATATGGCTTTCAGTGGTTCTCATTTTTGTATTTTCGACAAATCATATTCCACTCGAGGTCTTGTGTCCTTTTTTGTTGATGAATTCACTGTCCATTTGTCGATTTCCTCGTTCTCATTCATCTCCTTCAGCATTTCTTGCAATAGCCTTTTGATTCCTTTTAAAAGCTGTGTTCAAGGTGATGAAAGTCTGGTAGTTGAATTTTTCAACAATCATATAATTAGACATCATTTTTCCACTAATTGTCACATATAAACTTGCTTCCAAAATGGTGTTATCATCCCAGCTGGACTGGATTGCAATTTCAACCTCACCTTAATTGGTCTCATCAGCACCTCCAGCAGAACTCGAACCCGGGTAATGCAGCGTACAGTATCGACACATTTCTATGAATACCCTTGCGTCATAGGGCAGAAGGGCTTTTTCAGAAAGCCTAGGTCTTTCCCATATCACATTTATGTGATGGAATTGCCGACGAGGCAAAGTTGTATTTGCTAAAGCAACCGACTGCCTACTTGTCTTTCATTTCATAAGTAGCTCTTCGAGACTACAATTAGATCTGATATCAGAGCTGTATTTACATTATTTCGTTTAGGGTGATGGTGAGTGCAACTATTACATCAGATGCGATACAGGTTGTATGAGTTTCCGAGTGCCGACACAAGGCAGGTGGGTGCGGCCAGACAACGAGGCAGAGTAGAAGCGGTCTGTGGGTGTGTGCATCTAGTGAACATTTTTCACTTTTCCTTGCAGGCTCCCGACTCAAACTACGACATCACCCTGGAATGCATCGTCAACGGATACCCGGACCCAGATTTGTACTGGTACACTGGAGTGTACCATCCGGAGGAGAACAATCAGTTTCTGGTGACAAATGACAGATACGAGTTGTGGAAAATGAGGAGCTACGGTTCTGTTGGCATGAACGTAAGTGGTTATTAAGTTATTATTCAATAATTACTGCCACTTATGACGCGCATTCACCTATTGAGAGATTGGCTTCATTGACGATCCCACCATACAAGATGTGATTTGTATGAAGTCTGGCTCTGCCTTGTGATCAACTGGTAACCGAGGCTGTCTAGCAGAATGGTATCGTATCGCCAATTTGTGCGAACGATCCAGACTCGAATCCTGTTGGGACTGCTGACGAGAGGTCTAACTGGCGGCCAGACCAAGTGAACTTGGTTTGCCCATCTTCATCATAGGAAAAATACATTATTAGACCTTTCATCAGCTCAAGCAACATGGGCTCAGTTCTTAGTCTAGAATTACCGATAGATACGAAATCTATCCACATGTAAGTTTGCGATTACACTCAGGCTAGGCTGACAAAATACGGCATGTGTTTGCAGACGAGACTTTTGCTTTGCTCGCAATTGCTGAGCAATTCTGGCGCCAGGAGTCCACCAATTTTGGTGCAACACATAAATAATTGAGGCTAGCATAGCTTATTATTTTATTCGAAGAAGCGATTGGAGGGATGGATCTATAATTATTTCGTTAGACTTATTACTTATTAATTAAGGTATAGCCAGATAGGTTTCTTCACTTGGCATTAACTCGAACCTGTTGCAAAAATGAGTTCCAGCTCAAAGGATGTCGGTCAACTGACATGGCGGACTAAACTTGAGCCCATTTTCGCCAGAATCGAGGAAGGATGTCTCTCTGACTGTGTCAACCTGAACGTTGTAGTAAAGCGAAACTTCTGCAAAACAACGTCAATCAGTCGTCGCCTTCCAGTAAGATCATCTAGCAAATCTCTTCCTCATACGATTTCATATTAAAAAAAGTCTCTACAACAATTTTCTCGCAAGAGAATGATCAAAACCCAGTTACTCCTCGTATATATTTACTTTATAAAGAAAAGGTGGGTTACGAAGAGTATCTAATTCGAATTATGTTAACATATTTTTAGTTTCGTTTCAAGCGTCGAATGGAAAGGATTCTCATGTAGGCCTCACCCGAAGCCGTTGAGCTTGTTGTATCTTCATATGAGTAGAGTTGACGTTTCCATTGAATTTCACAAAGCCTTGCTTCCAGAAAAGGTGTTTTCATCCCGGCTAAAATGGACTACAGTTTCAAACTCGTCTAGGTTTTATCAGCATCCCCAGCGGGACTCGAACCATGACATTGAAGCGTGTAATCTTGACACATTAACTACTACGCCAAGGGAGGCGAAACATTTTCTATATCACATTCTGTGTTGGGATTGTCGATGAAGCAAACTTATGTTTGC